TCCGGTATGTCAACGACTTACCAGATGTTGTGACCAGTTCGTCAGTTGCGCGTTTTGCTGATGACACGAAAATGTTTCGCAGAATTGACTCCATCTCCGATGCCATTTTACTCCAAGACAACATCAATAACCTTGAATCCTGGTCCAAGTCAAGTGGTCTCGTGCTTAACGAAGAAAAATGCAAAAGTCTTAGCATCACCAGACGTAGCCAACCAATCAAACATCCATACAGCATCAAAGGCAAAGAACTTATACATATCTAAGGACAGAAGGATCTAGGACTCGGGATCGCGAGTGATCTAACCTGGTCGAAACATGTTTCAGAGCGATGTGCCCGAGCTAACAAACTTCTCGGACTTGTAAAGCGATTTTCTGGAGAAAAAAAGCAACGTGAGGATCCGCCGGAATTTGTATCTGTCCTTGGTCCGCTCAGTTTTTGGCTACTCAAGCGAGGTTTGGTCGCCTCAAACCGTTACCCTCATCCAACGTGTGGAGCGGGTCCAAAGGAGTGCGACGAAGTACATTTTAAATCTTCCGTACATGTGCAGGGAGACCTATCGGGAACGACTAGCCAGTTTGCGCCTCTTACCACTATCTTACTGGCATGAATACTTGGATGTCTTGTTCTTTTTCAAAGCAGTGAAAGGCTTGGTGGACGTGTCCCATCAGTGACGTCCTCCCTGAAGTCATACCAAACCAGAACAACCAGATCCTCCTGCGGCAACCAAATCTCCTTTCGGCCAGCCAAATGTAAAACCACTACCTACCAACGCTCCTTCTTTATTCGTGTAACTAGATCCTGGAATTCCTTACCAACCACAATAAAATCTCCTGGCATTAATATTAAGCAATTCAAAACCGCTTTACTAAATTATTACCTGACAGCCCTGATTGAATGCTTCAATGAAGAAGATCCGAGGACATGGAAGACTATTTGTCTGAAGTGCAACACTAGCCGTCTCTTACATTCTAAATTAACTTGTTGTTTTTAGAATCCTATCATATTGTATATTATGTTAATTGTGTGTCTTTTTGTTCAAAGGGCCCACAGTAATTGGTTTTCACTGTTGTGGTGTCCCTGCTATTCTTGTCCTTGTTTTGTCCTGACGCCTGCTCGACGTCCTATCATTTGTATTAGCAAAGTTAAATAAATAAATAAATAAATATTCAATCTCCATCATCTCATCAGTGGATTGGACAATATGGAATAAATCTGGAATATGCCTATTTACCAGCAAAACGTCTTTATCGGAGTCTTGGCTTTATGGAGCGATGTGGTACTATATATGTTGATATTCTTTATCGCATAGGGTATCCATTGTGCCGGTACATCTGTCCCAATATTGTATTCGCTGGTCCCTTCTTATTTAAATGTTGAACTAAAACAAGTGCCGGTGTATCTTGATTTTTGGTATCGCTGCGCATTCATTGGACCAGGAAAATTTCGGGAAATTTCTCAGCGTTTATGTTGACATTAAACAGGTGATTGATAAAGTAATTTGTTCTTACCCACATTCAATTTAAATAACTAAATAGAGATTACTTCATGGTTGGCGAGTGCGTACGATTTTTACACACGAGTTGTGAAGAATCGCAAAACGAACGAGTGAGCGTAGCGAACGAGTGAGTTTGCGATCCTTTGCAACGAGTGCATAATGAAAATCGTACAAACGAGCCAACCATGAAGTAATTTGTTTATTAAATGTGTATAGAGATCAATTTGACAACGACACGCTTTTAATATACAAAAACACAGCGAGCAACAAAATCGAAACTTTATGCATCAAAACATATTTATTACCGTTCAGTTTCTTTGTAATTTTGTTTAATAGAAGTTAGATATTCTTTTCGAAAGATTTGAGAATGTGCTGAGTGTAAAAATATCTTGAATATGAGAATAATGTTATGAATTTCACTCCTATATTTCGACGCCATCTTGAAAGAAAATGTAAACAAATTGCCGCCAAAATGAAATACGACAATTTTTCACGTGTGAAGAATATCGTACGTCCAATCAAAAGCCGTGTATGGCATTTTTTCACACGTGAAAAACATCGTACGTCCAATCAAATTGCATGAAATTAATTTACACAGTGAAATACGATTTTTATTTCATCATTCTGCTGTGCATAAATCTCTATACACATATAATAATTTAAATAATTCCACCATATCTGGGTGGAATCGTTTCTATATGCGTAAAACATGCACTAAAGCAAAGAAAATTCTATTCAAATTTTATATTGCTCTGATGCATATTTTAGCTTGAATAGAGAATCAAACTCTTTTATATACCAGCATGTGTAAGCTGTTTCAAGGAAAATGAATTTTTTTTGGAAAATGAAAGTCTTTTTACGAATGTATATAACGCTTGTTAATAGCTTTTTATATTTTACCAACTTTAAAACCCAAAACATAAATCTACAAATCTACAAAAGGTGAGAAAACGCAATAGAAACGGTGTGAAACTGCAATAGAAACGGTAGTTGACAGACATTCCAAAGTTAGGAGTGATAGGCGAAGGTCGCAATAAAACGAATCTACTATTGGACGGATTCGATTCAAGTTCTTAAGTGTATTAACACCAGAGTAAAAGATTCGATGGACACCATTGAATCCGGCTAACCGCCCAATAGTAATACACAACGGCTCAAGCTCCATCCCGATGGATGTATTTAAATCGAGATGCTAACCCTGCCAACGATGCCTCCAAGGGAATTGAATTAGACGCCATGATATCCAACGATAGATGGTTAAAAAGCCCTGAACTCCCTCGGATGTTCGAAACCGACTGGTCTCATGGTTCAAGTCCCAGTCCAAGGCATATTCCTGCTAGTGTATTCCTGCTGGTGCATTCCAGCTGGTGGAAGCCGAAGCGCTCCGTCGTTTGTTACGGTGTAACGAGGACAATCGGTTGTCAAGAGATACGGTTGTCTCTTCACGTGCCTAACAACGCGAGCGGTGCATATAGAGATCGTGAATGCATTGGATAAAAACTCCATGAAGAATCATATTGATCAATATATATTACAGTCAGTATAAGGCTGACCGCGCGTGTAAACAATGTCGAAGACTGAGTCAGAGGCAGATTTCTGGGCTACCTACATACGAGGTTGCCCTTAAGAGATAAAGAGCGTCAAGGAACTGAGACGGAGTATTGAAGAATGGAATAACAGACCAGAGACTACAAAGAAAAATCAAAAGGGATTTTAACGGCCAACTAGAGAAATTTTTAGAGCGATTTTAACAGTTGGTTTTTGAAAAGGTCCTGAAGACTGTGCCGGGCAACCTAATCTCTGAATTCTCACGAGAAACGGTGACAGTCATCAGTATGTTCCGACTTTCGAGGAGAAACTTAATTAAAGACAGGATATTGGGTACTTGTAGCGGATGGAAATTAGCGGAGAGGACAATGGCCATTAGCGACAGAAGTTATGTCAAGTAAATACAGTTACGTACGCATTGTGAAAATGAAAACCAGTTCAACGGTATCGACAAGAGTGAGACAACGAAAGAAATCGAGGTCAGTTCAAGAGCAATACGACGATCCAGACTTGACCAGTGGCAAAGTTGTTTGACTTGTGTCTCAGGGACCGCGGAGCAGTTTTTGGATTGGGGGGGCTAGCGAAGCCGAAAGAGTGAACCCTCGGGGGGGGGACCTTACTTATCTGTTTATATTTTTCTTGTAAACACTTCAATGAAAACATTGTTCACCAACACGGATAGTGAACACATAATTATGATTACACAACTTACTATAAGGAGTTTTTATTCGTATTATTATGGCCATATAAAAATCGCTATAAAGGAATCACATGTATTTTGAAAATTATTGGGGGGGCTAAAGCCCCCCAGCCCCCCCCCCCTCCGCGGTCCCTGTGTCTGCTTATATGATGGACGGAAAAGAACCATGCTGAACTATAAGCCTGTCCAATTGACAATTTAATTAATCTAACTTTCCTATTTTGGCTATTTCAAAGTTTGGGTGGAGTTTGGGTGGAGTTTGGGTGGAGTTTGGGTGGAGTTTGGGTGGAGTTTGGGTGGAGTTTGGGTGGGGTTTGGGTAGGGTTGACTTGTCACACTAAGGGGAAAACATGCTGAAAATATGCCAAAGTGTTTCTTGCTTGAGACCCTGAGTATGATGTTGGTGCAGGGATGGGTTGATTCCTCTAAATATGCCCAATGGTATTGCAAGAAAGAATGCTGAAACGTGCATTATGCACAGTGAATGCAACCACAGTTAATAGAATATACATGGTTTCGAGACTACATAAAAGTACAATAGAACTCATTAACTATGTCTGGAACATTTATGCAAAAATTGTTCCTTATTTGTCACATGTCTATTGTATTTTGAACAAAGAAACCAATAGTAAGGTCTGAATTAACATTTTGTTCAAGTCACAGTTGAAGAGCTAAGCCAAGCCATTGCTATTGGTCAGTTGGGAAAAATACAATAAACATGTGACGGATAGGGAACCATTTTTTGCATAAACCTGGACAATAACATAGATAATGAGTTGTATTGTACTTTCATCTAGTCTCCAAACCATGCATATTCTAATAACTGTGATGCAACTAATCATTTGGTCATGTGTAACCATAGGAATCCCAATAAATATTTTTGAAATAATAAAAGTTTGTCCAGTTGCGTTGTGAGTTCAGTGACATCGGTGATCGCAACCTATACCAGATATACTGTAATGACACTGACCTATACTAAGATATACTGTAAAGAATATATGTCAGTGCTTGCAACGCATAAAGGCGGATTTCCACTTACAGCGAAATCGTTCGCTAGCGAAATATTTGCATTTTTTCTTTTCAATTGAGAACAGTCAAGTCGAACTAATTTACTTATGCTGTTAAAATTCAAAAGAAAATATGCAAATATTTCGCTAGCGAACGATTTCGCTGTAAGTGGAAATCCGCCTTAAGATGGCAGCTATTATGCAGTGAACTCCATATATCGCTTATATTATTTCAAAAATATTTATTGGAATTCGTCTTCCTAGTTCCAGGCCTTATAAGCGCGCGAATGCAAGGCGAAGTGCAAGTGAGCTCTATGGTCAGGGGCCGTTGTATAAAAACGTAGTTAGCGCTAACTGCGGTTAAAAAGTAGTTAAAAGTAGATAAAATTAGTTAACTTTAATCAAGTGGTTAAGCCGGTTGTATAAAAGTGTAGTAAACTATCCAGTCTATCCTCAAGGGCATCGTTACTTTCCAAATCGTAGCTATATTTAAAAATGGCGTCTTGAGCTTTTGAGAAGTGAGAAAACATTAAAATCAACACATACCAAGGTTCTGGTTGTCAACCGTTATCCACTCAGAAAAGGCCCCGTCGAAGCTTGTAAACTTTCAATATGCTTTTATTTTTTTTCATTTGGGCAGCAACGGAGTATATTTTTTGCTTCGAGAGACGTGTCAATGCCAAGTTACGATCCTAGCAAAGATTAGCCATCTTCTATTTCAACTGCCACCAGTATTTTGACTCAAAGGGACATTTTTGTATTAAGAGCGGCTTTTTTCGTTGAATTATTTTGAACTTTTTCCTTGTTTTATTGCATTTTCTCTCTTGCATTTCCTCCAATATTTTAGATCCAAATTCGGTCAATGTATTTGTCTTGTTCAACAGCGGTGAATATTTTTTTACACTTCATGTTATTTCTCTGTTTATTAACCCACGCAAGCTCCCCCAAGCTCCCCCAAGTTATTAATACGTTAATTAACAATTATTGGATGAGATTGAGTGTGATATCGAGAATTATCAACCCGAAGTTTGCATTATAACGCAAACTGAGGCTTGATAATTCTCGATATCATGCGAAAACCTAATTAAATAATTGTTTTATTTGGTATTTCCTTTTTGGAGAGGAAACCTGCGTCCAGAGGCCTAATAATTAATGCATATAATCGAAAAGGATCTCCTACCACTGAGCTATATTAAATTTCTCCTACCCGCAAAATATCACCGCCCGCCATATTTGCCCGAAAAGGGCCTGCGAAGGAGATAGGAAAAAGATGCAAGATGCAAATAATCAAAATTCTAAACAAAGCTACGCACCTTGGAAGAAAACAGACAGAAAACAGGTGAAAGACTAGGTGAACTGGTGAAAAACAGGCTGAACGATTGACATTATTTCATTATGAGTTACTTCGGGCCAGCAGGTTACGAAGATGACTGGGATGATGATCAATTTGACTTCGGTGATCATTACGATCCGGAATATTCTGCACATAATTCCTATCCCGCAACCAAATTTAGCGAGAGTACAACAAATGTGAAATCACAACAGAAGAATGATGCCGCACAAAACCCATCGCTTAAAACCTCGCGATTCAACGGCGGTTTTGGATCACCATCAGATTTGAAATCAACAGTTAATATGGGAACTGCAGGTCGAGGGCGGGGAAAAGGAGGTTTTTCCGAAACCAAATCACAAAACAATGGTAAAACAAACAGTTCTGAGGTTAAAAAAAGTAAAGGACAGGGAAACTTTCTATTTTTGCGGGCAAAGGACAAAGCGTACGTATTTTATATGTATTAAGCATGATCTCTGTGTAATGACTGGATGTGTCAAAACATGTGGCAAAAATGTTGAAAAAATGACAAAACGTTGGTCAAATTGCTTAGTTAATGGTCAGAAAATATAGTATCAAATTTAACCTATATGGTCATACTTAAAATAGGCTGCTTTCAAAGTCTAGAGGCGTTATAGGCTTTAAAAAATTTTCTAAATCTCTCAACGGATGTTGACCAAATTTCCACACCCATGTCATTTAGATATCATTAGGCTTCAGGAGCCTAATTATTTATATTCATCAGGCTATGTTGAAATAAAGATTCAATACATCCCTGTACCTGATAAGAACATTGGTCGTTTTTCATTATGAAAAGTTGGGCAATATCACATTCATGACACCCCAGTTCCAAATTGCTTGCCAAAATCCTAGCTGAGGATAGAATATTTATAGGATATCAACTTACATATGTGTTGTTTATTCTTATGATTTTCAATGTAATACAATAAAGCAAGAGTGAAAATCGAGCCTTCAGTTCTATTCACATGCAAAAATCCCATATGTAAATGCACATTTTATGAACGCATTTTGAAATCTAAATTTCTGGGGAGGAAGGTACACTCTGTTTTGGATATCCCTTGGGCAAAATCTGAATCTTCTCCCTCATTCCAGGAAAAAGAATTCTGATGAAAAGAACTCTCAAATTGCTGAAGATTTCCGAGCTGCCATTGTCAATGGGGATCTTGGTGTGATTCACAATATTTTGGATAAAGGTGAACTTTTTTTGGCAATAGTGCATTAATGTGTTGACACCTTACATCTTTTTTGGGTAGGGTTTTTTAGTGGCAGCGGAAGATGTGCCATACGGGGGGGGGGGGGGGTAACATTACAAAGTTTCCGGCAAAAGGGAATTATAGCTGCCATTTGGAATTCTAATTTTTATAGCACTGGTTAATAAAAGTTGACAAATTTATAAATTCTGATATTCATTAAAATTTAGATAGATGCAATATAATATGGCAGCACTCTTACTAAAACATTGGGGGAGGAGATTTACCCCCTAGCCCCCCACTTTATTTATTTCCAGTTCTATCTGTATTACATACATCCTAATAATTATAACCTATAAATATGTGAATGTGCCATGTCTTTATATTATTTAGGAATTTCAGTAGATTGTATTTTAAAATCTGGTTGGACTGGACTGATGCATGCAGCAAGCTGTGGCCTGCCTGAAATGGTCACAGTTCTGACTGAACGTGGTGCGAATGTAAACTTTCAAAAAGGTCAGTTCCATAAAAAAGTATTTTCCTTGCATCAATTTTGCTTGATATATTTGTAATAATTAATTTTTTTACATTTTCAAACCTAAACAGCAACTGTGATTGCCATGCAAATTATGCAATGTAATTTGATCATACAGTAAATTTCATAATTATTTAAACTTAATTTCCACCTACAAACATGAAGCAATTTTCACATTAAAATTCCCACCAGAATCACTAGGTATAATAATGTAATCCTAGAGGCTGGTAAATCAGTAGGTTAAATGTTAATTGGCTTTAAGGGTTGCTTTGTATTATATTTTGTAATAATATATACAATAAATGTACAATTTTGATCAATAGATTAATTGTAATTAATGATTAATTATGCAAAATGTAAATAAGGCTCTTTTGTAGAGAAAGTCAATAATCAGCCCGGTTTTATTTTTGTTTTGCTACTATTGTATATTTTTAGATATGTTTTCAGTAGTGATGGCTGCATGCTCTTCAGACAGTGATGCAGAAGACGGAGTAGCAGAATGTTTAAGCATTTTGATAGAAAAGGGAGCTAAGATAAATTCTCATGACAGGTATCACTGTTCCTTGTTATCTACAGTACTGTGCAAAAGTTTTAGGCCCCTAGTCAAATTACCACTTGTTAATAAAATTCATGGTATTGCAAGACATGCTAGGCAGAAAGACTTCTAGTGGTCTTGCACTTGGAACAGCCACCATGAGAGACCATTATTGCAGCACATTGCCTAGTCATTGACCTAACAAGTTTGTTTGTTACATCTGGATCAACAGCCTCATGTGATGTGAAAATAGTCTCTTTGATTCTTCCACATGTCGAGATGGTCTTTTATCTGACCTCTTCCTCACTTATTCTCAAAAATATTCAATGAGGTCAGCAATCTTTTAGAGTCTCTTATAGCTGGTCAATCACTTTCTTTCAGGCTCTTTTCTGTATGACATGGTGCCCCATCTTACTGGAAGATATAATTTCCACCACAAAGCCATCTCATCTATTAGGAAAGTTTTAGATGCAAGCCAAACATACCATTTTCTGTATGTTGGGACTTTCTGAAAGGTGGAGAGAACTTTGCGGTTCAGACTTTATCTTTGAACAAGATAGGGCACCATGTGACAGAAAAAAAAGCCCAACAGAAAGAAATATCAATCAGTACAGGGCAACGAAAGAATTCTAACCTAAACCTGTTTCAATATCTCTGGGAATAATGAGGAAGAGGTCAGATAGAAGACCATTTCGACGTCTGGAAGAATCAAAGAGACCCTTTTCGCATCATGTGAGTTTTTTGGAGTTTAGTTCCAAACGTAAGGCTCACTGTAGTTGGGTTTTTCTTAAAGTATTTTTTTGTAGGTATCATATGACACCACTGATGTATGCTTGTCGAAATGGTCGGCAGAAAATCGTGGAAATTTTATTGCGTCATAAACCCGACGTGAATAAGCAAGATCAGAGAGGCTGGACGGTAAATTTTGTTTCCTCAGGGCATTACGCCGGGCCAATTCAATGCATACTGCAAATACTCTACCTCTATAATTCGAATTTAAATTCGTGCAAAAGAACTAAAAACGATTATTCAACATCCCCCCTCCCTGAGTTATCATTCCAGTCGGATTTTGCCGGCGGGCCATGCACTTTGCGAAGAACATTTTTAGTATCTGTTGTAATTTTCCAATTCGTTGGACTGCAGCATTTTAAAACGTACAGTTCAATTTGACAAGCTTAAAAGAATACAGTGAACACATGACAGCCCTATATGGGTTTGATGTTAACAAAATTTAATTGTCTCGTTAGTCTTGCGGAGCTAATCAAACTTCGTGTAACATCAAACTTTCCGTGTTTAACGTCATTATAAGAAAGGCCTCCCGTATCACCAATCTGTAGCTTTCGTCTGAACAGAATTTGAATAGCAACGATAATCCAAACGAAACTACTAAATAGACGGGTGCGTGGATAACAAAACGAACTCGACAGACGATTCTGATAACAATGTTCTGAGGATTTAATATAAATCAACGATACTACAGGTACAGACTGACAAACACGAGCTCGTCGTTGGGATAACACAGTCGAGCTAGAAACGATTGTCCGTAGATAATACGACTGGAAACGGACTGTAGATCGATTGAGAATCGACTGGAAATCGATTGAGAATCGACTGGATATCGGTTCGAACTAGAATATAACAATTAAACAAACTAACTATAAACGACTATATAACACAGAAAGCTAATTAGGATATACATATGATATGACAATTAACGAGTACTTATACTGAGAATAACATGCTTTAACACTACAAATTACTATTGCCGATATATACGTGGCTATCAATGATATAACAAAACACACTGAATTAGGCATGCAAAATAATCAGCGAATTTAGCGTTTTGGAATAGCGATACTTAACTAGAACGTGCAGCATGCAAACTAACACATTATAGCAAAGAATTATGCGCAGATTACTAAAATAAACAAATGGCGCAAAATGTGAACATAGCGCATAGAATAACAATTATATTTAACAAATTTACTTACTTTGGTTTGCGCACGCACCAAACCTTTATAGAAAAATAGCGTAGAGTATGTAGATTTCTAGAGTACCAACGTGAATAGATATTGACGCGCCAATTATTTTATAAAGGCACCAACGACAGTTGCTTACTCACAAGCAGGTCCACGTTAAACACTGACTGAAGTTTGCTTGAGTCTCTTATATTTATGCAGAGCGATACCGGAACGTGCAATGGATCTAGAAATGTTGTTTTGCGCAACGGACATTGCTAGGTTAGGCTGGGAAACCGCATTGCGCATTTGCTGACTAAACTTACGCATTTTGGTTTAGCGGTTGTGGCTGCGGAAAATAACAAGGTTGTTTTTGCCAATACAATATTATAGAAAACATCCGTTGGTTAGTCTCTTCCGTTTCGAAACCAACACAATCGAACCTGATTTGCTGGACATTGATTCACTTTAGGCTCTTGGATGGGCGGCTAGTCGTGGCAAAGGTAGGATAGTTCGAATGTTATTGGACGAAAATGCAAATCCTCGATTATACACGAACGATGGACAGTCCGCTGAAGACTTGGCGTATGATGGAGGCTTTACGGTCGTAAGTTTGCTTTTTATGCCAGCATGTAAAATACACACTTAATCGCAGCATACAATGTGTTATATATAGTTCAGATTTGAAAATTTAATATATTGAATCTAGCCGTTGCAGAATTAGATAAGTGTTAAGAATTGAAGATTGTTGCGATCACTTGCATGCTTATATTACATCAAACATTTTCTTGGGAATAAAATGGAATTTAGAATTGGTGTTAGGTTTTGATTGTAGTGTGAGAGTTGTTGGGAACTTCTATTCAGTTAGTCGCTAAGAATTCAAATTACTACAATTCGGTTCATGGGGAATTAATAAACATTTTTGTCAACTACATCCTTTTCGAAATTTTTCAAATTCCTTCTGCATTAGTGGTTCATACTCGGTCTTCAAATAGATAATATTGAAATGAAAGTCCCTGAGTGTCAACTAAGAAGTGTATGATAACTATGATTTCGACATTCAAGTCTTGCAGTCTTTTCTGATTTCCGCATGACTTACCTGACGTTTAGGTCGCAGATGTTCTCAATAGCATTGTAAATCCAGGAAGACGTATAGAGCAAGCATCGTAAGTCCTTAGTTTATATAGACCCATAAAATTTACCTTATTACGTCAAAAAAACAATACCAATTTAAATTGGTTACCTCAAATATACTTGTTATTTTATTAGGTAAATAAGTTATTCAAAAAGAATTATCGATTGACGCAAACCAATTCTTTTTTATCAAATAGAATTGATCCAGAGATGATTAAAAAACAACCGATTTGAAATTAGCTGTTTTTAACTGTTTTTACAGAGTATGTTTTGTGATTGAGCGTGGTTTAAATGAAAGAGAATGACGCGCCCGGTCTCAAAACTCTGGAAGTAGTATATAGATTTCCGATGCATTATTTTATATTATGTAGGCAAAACAATACAGGATCTGAGATAAGACACGGCGAGAAAAGGTGAATACAGTATAGTGCAGATGTTATTATTTTTTATGTTCTTCGAACTATATATGGAGAAGTATCATGCATGTCAATCATTTCCCCCATGCATGTACAGTAAATGCTATTTATTAATAGTAGTGAAATACTTTCATATTACTCTATTGACATGACAAAATTAAAGTATATAATTTTACCTTTTATGCAGGTTGGCAGTACATTTCTCTCGTATTATGTCTGTTAGTTTATTAAGTCTATTATAGAAAATAATTTTAGGACCTTCGTCCTGATATCCCTCATCGCCTTTTATAATCCAAAGATAAAGGAGATACTCTCCTTTTAGTTAAGACATTGTATTTTAGTAATCTGAGTCAAGTAACATGTGCATACATACTGACATTTGTAGTGACTGCGTACGATATGGGGATTTAGAGCTTTTTTTATTTGGACTGGAACTAGGCCACCTTGTTCCCCTATTCCAGGTATATGTTGTAAACTACTGCTGTAATTTTACTTTCAGTAATATTCAATATATTATTTTAGGCGTGCCTGTTCTGTGTCATATCTGATATACTACTTCTGGCCACAACCTAAATCCACCGTATACCGCACTCTTTCTATCAGAAAGATACGATTAACCAGTACGATTATTGTAACGGTACCAATATTTTTCTTGCAGGATCACAAAATAACTTTTGATGGCTTTCTGCAATTAACAGATGCGGAACTTCAGCAGGTCAGATTTTAAATTCAATTCGTACGCTGTTGGTCTACGTCTTCTAAAGTAAATCCTTACGTTTTAGATTGGCATTAGTCAAATCGGTATTCGTAAGAAGATTTTAACAGCTACGCACGATGTACATACGAAAGAGTGGGATTTATCTAGTCTTCCATCTGAGGCGACCAATCAGATAACGTAAGGCTCATTTGCAGCTATATTTCCTGATATTTTTCTTCCTCTAATTTTATTGGGCGAGTGTATAGGAAGCGAGGATATTATTGGAATACAATTTTACATTTCTGGCGTACTGATCATTCAATTTCAACTGCATTTTTTGTGTATATAATAATATAGTGATTCCTAATATATTCGACATCTCGGGATGCCTACCGTTTACTTCGGGAATCGCTAATTCCAGTTGGAAAAGCCAATGGTACAAGAACTTTCCTTCGAAAAGTTTAGAAATTTTCGATACGAATTCCTTTGTATCATTTGCCTTTCCGACCAGAATTTCCTATTCCCAAAGTTAAATGGTACATAAGTACCCCAGCATACTGTATGGTGCATTTACTTTCATCGTAAAGCCTGTGAAAAATTCTACCATCTAATATCTAACAACCCTTCACACAAACTTTCTAGCTTACTGCAAGAGACTCTGTTACCTATGATTTAAGATGTAGGCGTAACTTTCAACTACCTATTTATTGCAAGAAGCAATAGATTTTTAATATATTTTATTCATGCTAGTATCAGAGAATTCTCGTGAATTTGTATATAGTTTTATATTCTATTCTACTTAGGTTTTAAATATGTCTCGTACGACCTCCTTAATTAATTATTACATTGTTATGTATTTTAAATAGTACAATAACTTTTGTGTTTATGTACATGCAACACGTAATTCAGTTTGTAATAGCTGCAAAGTGTTAATTTGAAAAAAATATCTATTTTCCTTTTCAGGAGCGACGATTTAAAGCTTGTTCTAGCTAATGTAGAAAAACATCTTCAATATATCAAATGCAGTATTGGATACGTTACCAAATCTTTGGTTGGAGCAGCTGGTCCAACCACCATCATACAGGTATCACCATTTAAACAACTACGCTCTTTTAAAACAACTTGTAACGACAAGTTATATATGTACGTATATATATATATATATATATATATATATATATATATATATATATATATATATATATATATATATATATATATATATATATAACCTCTTCTTCTGTATAGTATACAAACTTTATTGATTGCACTCATGAAGGCCCGGGTTAACGGACCGAAATCTTTCCAGTAATAAATGCTAATTTACTTTATTGAATATGTCCCCATGCATGCATATATAGCGTTTTTACTCGTTTGTGCGCCGCATTTGCGATCATTTTTTCTTAAAGAGCGCCGCCCCCAAATGAGCACCGCAGTATAATTATTTTCAAATTCGGCGCTTAATCGACGCACGTCGGAATTGTTGAAGACGCTATTGTTAAAATTTTCGTAAGGCGCTGGTCAATCGTGAAGGCAGAGACTCAGAGATTGTTACAAATATGATAATTTTCAGGATACCGAGCATTGCCGGCAGTTTTTGGCCAGAACTGAGGATGTATTAACCGAAGTGAATGGAATATCTGGCGAAATATTACGATTACAGTGTTCTGTTGAAGAGGTAACTTCAAAATCATACTTGGGCGAAGTCATTGTATTCCTTATAATATAATGTTCAGGAATACCAGGGCGGCGAAACATCGTGTGATATACTTTAGGAGTGGGGTCCGCGAGATATATAGGGTCTACAGATATACGTATAAGATCGACGCCAAAAACGTTTTTGCCACTAAATAGAATAAAACGGTTATTTTGCACGTTGGTATATATTTTTATATATTATTATTTACTTTTTGTCGTTTATAGGCATTTTTACATTGATATATCATAGGCAGCCCGGTCAATGCGGGTACCGCAGTCCGCATACTATCTTATGTAAAAGTGGATTTCCTTTCGCTCTTTGTTAGAATGTGACAAATAACTTAGACAAAACTTCATATTTTTTAAGTACGTGCTGGGTGACAGAGATCTTAATTCCATCCTCTCATATTTCACGGCGTTAATTTATTAACCTTTTTTTGCAATAGCTTGCTGCACACAGCATACAAACGACATTAATGCGTCTAACTACTCGTACGAACTAAAATACACAGGGGGCAGTACGCGCATCAGATATACATCAGGGGCCGATTGTTCGAAAGGCGTTTAGCTTAAACGGTGGATAAGTCAAACATAGAAAACCAAATTATTTATTTATTGAACAACTGAGCTGAAATATTTCGATGTAAATAGTTTGTCAATGGAAGTATACATATTATATATATTAAATGCATAAGATGTAGGTTCAGTCATTCACGAGATGTATGAGAGTGTTTTTAAACTTTGGCTTATCCATCGTTTAAGCTAAACGCCTTTCGAACAACCGGCCCCAGGGGTTATATATTGCTGTTTCACCGCCCTATCTCATATACGCCCTGCTAAAACCAAGCCGCGTTTAATTTATCTTAATCACTATACAGATGACTCCCTTAGCATGCCTTCTATTTGCAGCATGAGCTGTACATCAAGCTGAAAGACCTTTTCTGAAAGAGAATTTCTAAAAATTAAGCTAAGATTGCTTTCCGCCGAGGGTCTCAAATTGTATAGGCGATTTAAAAAGTCTAGAATGAAATTTAATGTTCATTTAGCGTATATATATTAAGAACCAACGGACGTTTTTTAAGGAGAAGGAATTAAGAGTTAAAAGGTGAGAAATAAGTTTTTGCTCCCGTTTTGTTTTTTAGATATCTTCAGGCGTGCCAAATGTCGCAGCTGATCTTATATCTAAAAACTTAGACAAGGACAGAAAACAAAACAAGTTGACAAACATTCATATTTTGATTGTTGCCGGTTGTTTAGGACTTGGCTTGACTGCTGCATTGATACTCAATGGTACCTCGAGAACCTAAAACCCTTTTTATTTAAGTAGCATGCATGATGCACTTTAGTTTAGCTGCACAAAGTTATGTTGTAAAAAGTGCTATAAAAATATTTGTTGTTTAATTTGTACATGGAAAAAACGAATTGGGTTAAAATATTGCATAAACATCCCCCTTACGAAGCGTCATTTTCTATATTCTTCGTTTTAAACTATGGATTGGCAAAATATGTCGGTCAGCCTAAACTGCCTTACCACTATTCCAAAACCAACAGCAGTTCGTGAATTATTGATATATATATTCCCTCCCTTCCCACATATTTACCCCATTATTTCGTATATCTCTTTCTCGCAGATTTTATCTGTAATTACCAATTTATTTCTCGACAAGTTTCTAAGGCTACCGAGCCACCGGGCGGTTCGAATCTCGTTTAAATCAAAATTTTCATTGTAAATAATGCATAGTAAGATAAGGTTGAATAAATAGCCGTAGGCTTCCAACCATCACCAGTTATACTTGTAGTAAAAACACGGACGATTACGTTCAAGTTGAAGGGATCAAGAAGAGGAAGGTACTGTTCCTCATCATGATTGGGTAATAGTTATATTCGGTTGATCATCCAAATTAATGTTTATGGAAATTTAGGGGAATTAGTGGATAGATGTGGATAATTAGGTAGTGTATATTAGTACAACATATATTAGTACAACAAAACTTAGTAATGGGGGCGTCAGTCGGGGCCGGAGGGAGCTGGTTGCTCGGGAAGGCAGGACCCGCGGGCGGTGACAAGAAGGTAGGCTTAAAAATATTACTACTGTACTCAATTGTTCCTATTTATTGTCCTATATTTTACTCCTATCTATCCCTATCTTTTTCTAAACACAGATATCCCTAACGATATCACCTAAGTTATCCCTAACACTTCTAAATTTTTAAAGAAAGCTTAGAAAACGTACAAACCTTAGTAGATTTTAACATTGTCTTATGTTCTTGCTTTCATCATTCCTCTATGCCTTTCGTGAAATAAATTACTTCAAAGTTTAAAGTGGAAGTCAAGTCCAAATGTATACAAACGATTTGTTTACATTTTGAACTTCTATATACTTTTTAAAATACGTTATGTTGTCCGAATATCTAACAACATTTTGGTTCTTAAAGTGAATATGAACTAGTGCTTATAACCATAAAAATTCGATACATGAGAAATTTGGGCAAAAATTTTATTTGAGGACCTGAGCCATATTGTGGTTTCAAGATGATTATTTAATTAAGACCCGAGGGTACCTAAATATCGAGGCAGGATTCAAGTCAGGACTCAAGTCAGGACTCGAGCCGACAAGCTCCGATTTAATGACTCATCTACGTCTTGCTGATGGAAACTTCTATTGCCTTCTTTCCCGCGTGCCTGCATGTTGGCGTATAAGCGGGTTCTTCCCAGTTTAATGGTTCTTCCCGTGTGCGGACAAATTTTAAGCGCTTTTGTTCATTCGTTCCAGAATAAAGTGCCACGAATGAACAAAAGCGCTTAAAATTTGTCCGCACAAGAGAAAAATTTGCTTACGCCAACAGCCACGAGTGATTATTAGCTCGGCTAGTTGCTCTCGTGTGCGGCAGGTTTTAAGTAGACTAGAATTTTTCCGAATTCGTTAAATGTGATTATTTATGATACCATTTTTTGAGTCCACAATTTTTAAATCGCTAAATGAATTCAAAAACAGAACTTTGCAAAGCTTCTAGTTAGTCAGCAACATTGTATTGGTCGCATAGCGTTAGAAAGGCTAATTCTTTTACCATTACGGTGCATGCACCATTAAATCGTGAAGATTTGAAAGTTAAAACAATGGATAATAGAAACACAATGTGTTTTTATTCTCCATGCCATGGTCAGAAATGAAAATTAACGATTTGCATCCGATATTTTGGACAGCAATTACCTGTTGGTTACGAGTTATGTTACCCCCAATTTTTATTTCATAAAATGATTTATTATAAAATCAACTATATGTCATCCAAATATGGCGGATTGGTCGCATTGCGTGAGAAAGGTTAATTGACTCGAGTTCTTGACTCGAGTCCTTGACTCGAGTCCTTGACTCGAGTCCTGGCTCGAGTCCTGCCTTGAATCCTGACTCAAGCAATAGTATATCTCTTAAGACCCGCATAGTGAGGAAGTAAATTCCAGTGTGATTACGAATAGTGTGGCATTTTATTACATGTATTTAAATGATAGTCTTTGGCACCTAGTGTGGGCTAGTATTTCTAGATAATTGCTCAGTAGAAATAATAAGAAAACGCTTTTTCTTATTCATTTATCTACGACTCGTGAACCCTGATTTCTTATAACTTCGCACGAGATTACGGAGTTGTGAAATTATAATTAGTGTAAGTGGTTATTTACTGATTATAGGATTATTTCTTACAACTTGCACGAACGTGTATAAGTACATACGTATTTATACAGTATAATCGGTTCTTTTTTATCCAATATAACATAGCCGACTTGTCTGTAGCAAAAATACAGAATACTATCCTCAAATAAGAGCAAATCCTACTCACCAATACCATACATTTCATATTTGTTCTCATATTCTGTTGTTACAAGTGGCTATTGGATCATTCGAAATTCAACATAATACAGTCCTGATTGTGGAAATTACTCATGAAATGCGGAAAACATACCTTATGTTGACACTATGTTGATAAGAAAGTCCCAAAATCTTTCAGCAAGCGTGGAGAGCTGATCCATTTTCTATGTATCGTAATATTTACCTGCTCTTGTCAACATGCTGCTGTTAATTTTTCGCAAATGGCAACTTACGGTTTCCATCCCAATTCTCCAAGTTTGATGAGACAACCACCGCCTACCACAAAAGGAAAGGTCGACATGAATATGATCATGTCCTCATTGGCAAATAAACACCAAGCGGGTGTGGTGGTTTCCGTTGTGAATGCCTTAACTACGATTTATCCCACAGAGGTTAATATTGTACAATATATCTTTTGTAGCTATTAAAGCATGATAATGCGATAAATAACAAAGGTCTTTTCAAAGGCAACAAAAATCCAATTTTACACGTAATCTTAGACAATCTTAGACTGGTATCCGGTGTACGATATTTGGTGCCCTTGGGCTCTTGACGGCGTGAAAACACCTTTAAGGCAACAAAGCATGCATAAACGCTAAATTTAAACTGGTTTTAAATAAGCCTCATAATTAATAGTTAAAAGTGGCTAATTTTCTCCATTTAGAAATTTCTTGGCGACTTCTCTGACAGTTTGTTTGGTGATGCCTCGGCACAGGCTGCCATTGCGAAATTCCAAAGTGAGCTTGACAAAATTACGCAAAAGATTCACGAGAGAAACAGTGGTATGATCAGTCCTTATACATGGCTTCTGCCTGGTCGAGTTCCAAACAGCATCGCTATATAAATGGCAAGAACTATACCCACCTATCATTTCTTAAGAGTACAAGTGTTAATGATCTAAAAACAAGGTATTTTAGAAGTTATCATACGTAGTAATTCATCGGCGATGTTCTACGATCCAATGTCGGTGATGAATTGAAATAGATAGTTTCTTTCAATAGACAAATCTGTTTATGTATCAATGACTACGGTCACATACAATTGTCGTCGCCGATGAATTTCAATATATGAAAACCAGGCAAAATATCGATACAGTGAGTGGCGTAACTAGAACAATAGTTGGGGGGAGGGTGTATTTTCAATTATTGCCCGACGGATTTCTTTTGTAAGTGCAATAGTTGATAATAGAAATCCGTCGAACTGAACTGAGTATATGAATATACACCTCCAATTATCGTTCTAGTTACGTCCTTGTATGGATATATATTGTATAATTATTGCAACATAATTAACTAATGCACTGTCACGGTAAGAATTTTCATCCTTATCGATCAAGGCATTGCCGTTTTAATTTCAATAACGTTATGATTGATGTGAGTTGACAAATACTTAGTGTAATTCTGTATGTCTCTGTTTACTATGTAGTTCTAAGTTAACATTTGACTGAAGGTCTTTTCTATTTTTGTTATATGACATGGGAAGACATGTGGAAATGTGAAGAAATATTTCCTAACAATTTGTGCGAATTTTTCTATTTCATATTTTGTATTTCATATTATATATGGCTATAAAGGGTGTCTCAAAAAGAAAATCGCGACTTCTACCTGCCGCTTAATAATTAAATATTGGGTCAACCGCGATTAAATTTTTACCTATATAGCAATAGTTATATATTCAGCCTACTTTTCATTTTTATACTTACTTTAAATTTGCATAGCATTAAGTTGTTCTCATATTACTATATATTATACAATCATCTTGGAAAGGTTGAATGGACCAGTAGATCGCACCCTCCGGGATCAGTAAGCTGGCTTCAGGCCAGGCAGGTCATGTATACATAAATAAAACCGAAGGTAGCTGGCACAATATAGACCTGACGAGAGAGCACTCGCCAGAGTGCTTTCGAAACAAATTTGTAGTTCTTTATGTGTAAATAGCTTTGTATACCTTTCTTGCCATTTTAAGGGTCCACAGTAATTGGTTTTCACTGTTGTGGTGTCCCTGCCATTTTTGTCCTTGTTTTGTCCAGACGCCTGTTCGACGTCCTGTCATTTGTATTGGCAAAGTTAAATAAATAAATATGTATGTGTGTATACGTATGTATACGTTGTATATATGTATAAGATGTGTATATTCATGTATGATGCAATATATAATATTATATATGATGCATTCAAATCCATTCAAGTCCATAAAAAGTCTCAAAATAATGGTGTGGGGTTTATTTTTAAGGACATTCGTTGCGTCATTCACACAGGACGGGAATTCAAGAAATTGGTTGCTGTAAACGTGCGCGACGTCTAAAACTCTTTTAGGTCAGGTCGTATAGGTAATTATTTCAGTGTTTCTTTCTAATGACCCATCGTATTTATATATATCCACCGTCAAAAATACTTTGTTAAAAACTTCCTTTTGTGAGTGCGCATGTCTCGTTATAAGTGGCTACGCATGCTTAGGTGATTTTAAAGCCTGAAAGACGCACGCTATACTGTAGTCTTGCACGAAACAGAATTTATATTCGGTACGTGTCCAAGAGGACAAACATTGTCATTGGAGTTGGGGTTTTTTCAAACTGGGCCCATGTATAACACATTAACACTTCGTCAGCTACTTCAAGAATTACCGACGCAAAACACTAATCAAAGTAATATATGTGTAAAACTTTACTTTTTATATGCATTTGCAAAGTGTTGCTCGCGAACAAACATTTCAGCCAGGCAGCAAGAATATGGAATCCAGGGATTTTTTTCAATCAGCAAGTTGGCAATTGACAGATACTTGAATCCTATACGAGACTAATAGTGAGATCCTATAGTGTTTTACGTACATATACCTTTAGAAAAAGGCAATAAAGTATATCAGTATATATATATATATATATATATATATATATATATATATATATATATATATATATATATATATATATATACTGATATATGTTATTGCCTTTTTCTCAGGGTATATGTACGTAAAACACTATAGGATCTCTTGAATGCATAGAGGCCCACTTCCTGCATGTATATAAGATGTTTATTTTAAGATGACATTTTGCATAATCATGCATTAACTGATGTTAAGTCTTAATATACTTCTGCTCCAAATATCCTGTTGAAAACAAGGATACGTATGCTATAACTATACAAAATTGCAACGGAAACATTTAATTTTTTGAAACACCTACATGGTATAGCAATAATGCAATACTGATCGGAAAATTGAGTATTCTCAAAAGTACAATGCAAGTAGGACTTACACATACAAGCCCCCAGTCTTATTATGCCAACCCGGCACAATGAGGCGCGCAAGCTAGAATTCTATCTTCAGTTGTTGAAGCTGAAGCAATAGTATATAAAATAAGCAATAACAAACATTAATTAATGGCTTCAAAAGCTGATATTTGCATTAGACCTTTACGTCCGTTTTGTATAATGTAAGTACGCTCTTAAGCAGCTAGGAAGTCAATGACGTCTTTCCCGCAATTATCGCTGTATGATGTCCAAGAAAAGCAGACGCTTTCGCTGACAGATCCGTCGCTAGAAGCTTCATTGAAAAATCGTGCTGCATTGCCAAATCGTGTTCTGGCTGTGTGGCACTCTTGCGTTAAATTTGGTAAAACGCACGCATTATAGTTTTTTTGGGATGTGTCTTAGTGGTAGACTTATAAATAATTGTATGTAAAGCTTATAAATAATTGTTCACAGTCGTCTTCACAGTTCAAACAATACGTTTTTTTAAAAAGCATTTTCAATATCGGCAATATTGAGTTCATTGTATGGTCAGCAAGTAGGTTTATTTGTAAACAAAACATGAACATAACGTTTCTAACACTTTTAATATACAATTTGAGTTCATTCATTCCTGCATTGAAGAAGCTTCGTTGCAGGCTGTCATTTTTCAATAAACCATGATTTTCATGATTTTAGGATTTTTGCACAACTGATTTGGCAAAAGAACTTCACTTCATGTACGTTCGCTTATCTTTTTTAATTTTCGGTTTTGTTATATGTTATGATTCCCATGATCTGTCGTCAGGCAACAAGAAACCATGTGATTGATTTTGGCCAATCGTGTGAGTACATTTGGACCAATCCACGAAGATTGTATATTAATAGAACAGCAAAGATTTGTTATATTCATTTGTGCAAAAATACCAATTACATATAATTCGGTGGAATTGCTGATATAATTATGACCTAGAAGTTAATATACATTCTTGACGGACATTTAAATCATTTTTTTGTGATAATGATCAATAACATACTCAAAGCGAATATTCGTAGCATGCAGAAAATCCTATTACTGCGAATAATAATGGTAAACACTGTCAACTGAAAACTTCCTTTTTTTCAGTACGCATGTGCCGTTACAAGTGGCTATACGTAGGCGTACTGTTATGCTTCAATATACACACTTCAGTCTTGCACAAAACACAATTACATCGGCAACAACTACAGGTTGTGCATTTTAATATTGTCGTTGGACGTTAGTTTTGCAAGTTGCAGAATTCAAGGAGAGTTCATATTCAAGAAAGAAGCAAAAACTATAATAGAAGCAGTAAATTGCAGTGAGTTAATTAACTTTTTGTGTACTTTTGTGTATCAAGCCCGTTTAGCTTAAAGGGTGGATAAGTTTAAAAGCAAAAGCAAGTCTAACGTTTTATTCAACAAGCGAACTAAATGTTTTTCACCTAAAAACGAAGATACTGTCTACAACTACATATTCAGTGCATAATATTCAGGTTGACTCATTCCAGAGAGATGTAAGAGTGTTATCTAATTTTTACCTATGCACTGTTTAAGCTAAACGGGCTGGATACAAGCGACAACAGGAATATAGCTCTTATATGGCTAGGGACTTTCTATAGGGTTCTAATCATGAATGATATAATCAATGATTTTCGTGAGCAAGTTTAACGATATTTTTAGTAATATTAAAACCTCTAAACAGCTGTATATTAACACATCCTGACAGGATGTTCGTGCACGGATTAAAGTATTTGAAGATCGTTTTCTGGAGAACATAAGGAGTTCTATTCTAATCTGCTGTTGAGATCAACACCCAATACACGCCCAATAATAAACATAAGGGAAGTTGATAGCTAACAAAGGTGTTTCTATTATACAAGGAAGGATTTCGCTGTTGACCAATCATACACTCGCATGTTTACCTTTTGCCATCGTAATTGCCAGCCAATAAAATAGCTATGTAATTCAATCCTGAAAGTACGGTTATACGGTTATCAGGGAGATAACAGGGTTACAAAAAACGAAATGCCACAGATATCACTTTCTGAATTATTGAATTCAGTGGGGGGGGGAATAAATGGGCGGGGGGCTTAGCCAATGTATATACTTTATGTTTGATGCGTAAAAATTCTTAATCGCCACTACGACAAAGACCAAATATGGCCATTTCCCTTTTGGATAGTAAGTGGGACGTTTGTTTAACTGTATCAATCGCTTTACGGCATTTCGAAAAGCTTTCAAGTTGAATTAAATTACCCAAGTTTTTCCCCCTGATGAATTCTTTCAACGCCTGGGAATCAATTAGCCTTTCTCACGATCGACGTTTTGGGGTACTTTCAACTTTCTGAAATAGGTTTAAAAATTATGTTTAAACATCATAGGCAATTTTTTTAGAATAAACAGACCATTTGAAGGATAAATTCAGCCTAAAATTAAAGACAATCGCCGTTACCAAGTCTTACGCTCACAGTTTTTGAAAAAAGTACCCCAAAAATGGCGGCATATTCGTCATCGCGAGAAAGGCTAATTCTTTTGATAACTTGCTTTAATGGTTTTACTTATTTTCAAAATACGTCAGTTTGCATTTGGGTGATTTTAATCTTGAACGAAGCTGCCTTTCCGAATGTTAAAACTACTTTTCTATGCCTACGCCTTTAGTTTACATCTAAACATAGTGAAAAATAAAGCCTTGGGGAAAAATGAGTAACCCTAGGTGGACACGACTTAGAAATGTATGAAATGTGAAGAAATATAATATGAAATTAAAAGAATAGCAAATACACTTGAAAGGTGTATACAATAGACTGCGATCTCTTGCTAAAGCCGGGGATGCAATTTAACCAGCATTCTGACAGTCAGAAATTGTCCGATAAATATGTCGTTTACCTGCATTAATATTGTTATAGTAATTCAATTACCCCATTTTAAATTTTATAGAACGTTTTCCTACAAGTTCACAAGATTTGCGACTGTTTCCCGTATTGGAAAGTGATCACTAATATTATAGACAGAAAAGACCTACTTATTATAGGTTTTCCCATATGGACATATCATGTGTTGAAAATTATGTTACAATTCGTGTGTATTTCTCATTTTTACTAGGTATGAGGTTTTTTCTGCTTCTTCTGATCCTTGAAGCCAGCGTGGCACAAACTGATCCACCGCCCGAAAAATGCTTCAATGAAGCTATTCCAAAATACGTAACATGCAGACCAGTACATGGAAGACCAGCAGCCTGTAACTGCAGAAACATAGACCCATGTTATATCAAGTTTATCATCACTCGAAAAAGAAAGATTCATCCCACTTCAACCAATAACTACAACTATTATGTAAACGGTACGTTTCAAGGTCCAACGATTATCGCAGAAGAAAAAGGAATTGTTGTCGTTGATGTTTTTAATGAAATGGATGAAGACACTTCTATACACTTTCACGGGATGCATCAGCACAATGTTCCCTGGATCGATGGTGTGGGAAATATTACCCAGTACCCAATACCAGCCAATGGAAAGTTCAGGTAAATAAAGTTTGACAATTATAGAAAGACGAGAAGCAAAAGTATATGTCCAGGACTATAGAGCATGTACTTACAGAACACAACAACCTCCTTTGAGCTACCTTTGAAGTCTAATTTTCTTTGAATACAGCAATGAAATGCACAATATTGATTCAGAAACCTATTGTTATGCACCTACGATAAGATTTTCTGATACCATCATCTGCATATATATAGGTATATCTTCCGAGCATTTCCTCAAGGCACACATTGGTACCATTCTCATATGAGATATCAAAGAGATGCAGGATTGTTTGGTGCTCTGGTAGTTCACGAATCGCAAGGCGATATTCACGAAAGATTGGGACCGTTCGTCGATGAGCCTGAGAAGTATCTGTTGACGTTGCTCGAGAGTTTGAAAAATGTTCAGCCAAGTGGGAAACCTGACCCATTTTGTTTACCTGATGGATCTAAACTACCCATACAATATGACAGGGTGTCATTCTTTTTAAATGGTAAAGAAATTGCAAAAGACATCCTAGGACGTCGTGCTAATGAAAGTCATTCAGAATATTTCGTTGTTCCCGGAATGAAGTATCGCTTTCGTGTTCTCGGCGCAACTAAGTCGAACATTTTGATCATTTCTATCGATTATCACAAATTGCACGTTATTGCAACTGACGGTTACCTTGTGAACAAATTTACAACCGATTTTCTTATAGTGCACGTTGGAGAAAGGTACGATTTCATTTTGGAGGCGAAAAAAGGGGTAAAACCTGGAACTAAATATCCGATCAATATTCAGACACTCGCAGTGAAATGTGACAATAACAGTGAGGTAGCTGGATTAAGTTTTGCGTTTGTTGTCTACACGGATAAGAGTGAAAGCAAAAACGTACCCACAACCATTGCACAGCAAAGTGATCGTTGCAGCAATGCTCTGTCTCCTTGCAAGATATTGAACTGTCCCTTTCTACTAATGCCAACTGATTTCATTAACGATGGCACTTACATGAACTGCTATAACGTTAGAGAGCTTCGATTACTGTATCCCACACCAGAGAGGGATATTCCTAGTTCTGGTAACATCTCACAATCGTCATTCTTTAACTTTGAAGTCATTTGGCCAAAAGCTTTGATAAACGGCGTGCAGTTTTATTTGCCTAATATCCCTCTTGTCGAAAACACAGGAACTAAACAAGAGTGCATATATCCGGTGGATTGTAAAGAACCTGGATCGCAATATTGCACACATACGGTCTATTTGAATCATTCCACCACCACAAGATTTGTTCTATCTTCAATAGTAACTCAGGGGAAACAAGATCCTGTGGACATTACACACCCAATCCACATGCATGGGCACACATATTTCATCGCAAAGATTGCATATCCTGACTATTACGACAACGGCACGATCAAGGCTCCAAACCAGGATCTTACCGTGCCGAAATGTGGTCCAGCAAGTTGGAGAGGAAGCACACCTGGGGGAATTACTGTCGACAGAACTACCGTCCGAAAAGATGTGATCATTGTTCCCGCTGGGGGGTATGTAGTTTTGGAGTTCCTCGCAGATAATCCAGGATATTGGTTCATGCATTGTCATATCGACGAACATCTCAATCGGGGAATGGCATTAGCCATCGGTGAAGCTCCCTCATGTGCCAGCAGCCCTCCCACACCACTTTTGAATGAAACTGACGAGTTCTGTTTCAGCGTTGATACGTTTAAAGCTAAAGAAGGAGAGGCAAATGGAGAATGTCGACGTGCTATTGCAGCCCGTTCACCCGGCCATATTCTAACCATCAACGCAGTATCATTCTTGTCACAGTTGTTCGGTTTTATTACAGCTTTGTTATTTCTTCGTTTGATTTAAGGACATATGTCAACTTTAATGTTACTTTTTGTGCACTGCACATCAACATTTTTTTTATATAATGAGTAAGATTCTAGAATTATACAATAATTTGGGGTGTTTAGTGAAGCTCCAATATTTTGATGTTTTTTTAAGAATAATCTCCGGGGAATCAATAGGTAAGAAAGTAACTTGAAATATGTAGTTCTTTTTGTATTTGTAAGAACCTTCCAGGACGGTTTGCTTTTGATTATTTTAGAAAAATTATCATTGTAGTTTTTTGAATTATCAATTTTCCCGTTACAGTTTGGATTCAGTCTTCGCCACTCAGTGGAGTGGCTATGGAGTGGTGTGTCATAATCTTATAGTTTATAGTATCATTCGCCTTGTATCTGAAATCACGAAGTAGCTTCTTTTTCAGGTCTTCCAACATGCATGACCTGAATAAAATCATACGGCAAACATTTAAAATGGATGTAATCAGCACCCAAAGATTACATTCGCGACCGAACACTCCAGTCTTGTGTCATCGTCTGGGGTGATCTCACGTTGAAACATTGATCTTTAAGTCCGTTCTCCACTAGGCGAATTTATTCGCACAAACAGATAAAAAGTAGGACACGTTTCTACTTTTTTTGTGGCGAATTCCGTTTTCGCAAACCAATACATGTCACCGGATCTCAGATATCGCTTCGCGTCGCGCGAATAAACTCGCCTAGTAGAAAAGGGGCTTTACTTAAGTAAGTACTATCGACATGACGTCATGGCAAGTGCACTTTTAAAAAGGTGTGTTTAAAAACACACCAATGTGTTTTGCAGGATCCTATTTAGGGCACAAGGGCTCGCATTAATATGCCAAGCTTCGAAGCAACGCCTTTGTCTATAACCGTCAATGCCTATATTACACCATCGCTTTAACTTCAAAAAGAATTTTTGAATGTGTAATTTTGAATTTTAATATCACGCAGGGCGAGAGTACATTAACTACCTGTCTATAATATATAGCAGAGAAACGGGTGATGTTATTTCACTTTTATGACTATATTAGATATAGACTGATTAAAGTCATTCTATAGTTTAAACTCAGGTCTTGCTAATAGCTAAGGATATTATTGGCTTCCCTCGCACGTAGTGCGCTATACAGTATAAAACCTTTATTTTACTGCATGCATGGACGTTATTAAAACATTATTTCGCCACTCAGAAGAAAGACGCCTTGCATATATAAGTAATTAATTTTTCAGTGCAGTGGTATAACTGCTTGAAAACGAGTCATATATTATTGGTAAATTGTATTTGGTAAATATGTTTATAGTATTATTTTGATTTTCTGCTTTATATAATAATTTCATCACAGATCAAAAACGAAAATCAAGCAACTGTTTTGCTATAGAATTGTACTGGCTACCAGTAAATCATTTGTCAAATCTAGAGGTTTCTGCGCATGTGATGAACTTTGACTAAAGTGTCTAAAAACCTTAGCTCGGGCTTAATTGTTAAAATAACTAATTTAAAATTGGTTGTCTCAGATTCATCTCTTTGGAGCAATTTTATTTCGTTTTATTTTAACGTTTTTTAGTTGTTTTACCCAATAAAAAAATGATGTTATAATTTTTGAAGGTAGCAGTTATAAAATAACAAAGGTAACCCATTTAAATTGGTTACTGTTCTTACAGTGTACAAATTAAATTTCCTTGAAAACTTTTATGGAATGCTGATTCAAGTCTTGCGCGGGAAGCCTTCGTCTTTCCTCTACGCGATATATCACAATGCACTGTTAAAGAAACCAGCGAAAGACAAAACCAGAAAAGCCATAGTAAATATACCATGCACTAAAGTTAAAACTGAATACCACGTACCTGATAATCGTTTGTTGAGATTATCGAATATATTAGCGGTATATATAGATGAGTTCTGGAAACTTGTTATCTTCCACCGAGTCAGTAGCTAAAGGTTCTCTGTAGATATTTTTCATGCTAGCTACTAAAATACAAGCCACCGTGCAATTCGGGTCTATATATAGCTACGTTTCTGCAGGAAAAGATCGTTTGCACTAGAGTGCACGAGGTCGGTTCAGACTTGTACACAATCAAGGTATGCATTTGTAGCTTGATCTGGCCATCTGGGGGCAGTTTTATAAAGACTATAGTCAACTTTTAACTGTAGTTTTGTAAAACCGGCTCCTGGAAAGCATATCATTTGGAATGATATAGGATGTCTAATGAAACTCAGGTGTCTCACATTTAAGAAAATATACTCAATCATAACATGATACCTATAACGTCCTTCGTGTGGTACGGTCTGTTGTCTACATATTAAATGCCAAACGTGAAAAACATATTTATATCATGCCACAACAATACAATTTTTAGTTCGATTATAGCTCATATTATACAATATACATTGATACGCTATTTAACATAAATGTGGCTCTTGTCTATATGTTTTAAAACACCGCCGAAATGATGTGCGCAGCTTTTCAGTTATTTATCTCAGCATGCAACTGAGTCCTATTTCCACTTGGAAAACCTTGTTTCAACACGATTTTTGGGTGGTTACAAAGGACTTCAGAACACGCATCCGGAGAGCCATGAGCGAAATAATCAGATGCTTAATTAGTACGGCGATTGTCGCCGTAATCGTCAAATGTACAAAGTTAACGAGTCTAAGGTGCACCAAATCATACCAAATCTATGACGCGACGTGACATTAAAAACTGCTACCATTGTTAGGAACCCGGTATTAATTTGTTTTATTAATTTGTTTACATACGGCTCTGACTTTCTTTATCGAAAGGAGTCTATAATTTCTACGGATAAGGAAACTGTGGAATTAGAGCTCACTACAATGAATAGTAAAGACCAGTATAGTAAAAGCGGTATAGACAAGACGATAAAAAGATCATTTTCGAAGTTGCGTTACACAAATTATTAATAGTTTTATAATAGCTATCGATTACATTAATGAATTAAATACAAAAATCAGTTCGTGGCTCTCTAAGTTTAATTTAATAGGTTGCCACGCATGCACTGTTCGTAGCTATATATGCCATTTAAATAGCGATGCTGTTTGGGACTTTATCAGGTGAAAGCCATGTATAGAGACTGATCATACCTTTGTTTCTCTCATGAATCTTTTGCGAAATCTTTTCAAGCTCACTCTGAAAATTAGCTATGGCGGTTTGTGCCGAAGCATCGCCAAACAAGCTGTCAGAGAAGTCACCAAGAAATTTCTAAATTGAAAAATAAATACTTCCTTTTTTAGAAATTCATTAGTTACCGGAGTTAACTAAAATTGCCATTATAGAGGCTCGTTCCTTTAACAAGAGGTTTCGTTTCGACGACAAATTGTTGCATTATTCGCGTATTGCGTCGTATTTCTCATAGCGTTAACTAGCTATCGTATATAACCGATGGATTTATTTTTATATAATACTCACCTCCGTCGGATAGATGGTAGTTAAGGCTTTCACAACGGTAACCATTGTTCCTGCTTGGTGTTTATTTGCCAACGAAGCCATGATGAGATTGTTGTCAACCTTTCCTCTTGTGGTAGGTGGTGGTTGTCGCATCAAGCTGGGAGAATTAGGATGGAAACCGTAGGTTGCCATTTGAGGGAAATTAACAGCGGCATGTTGACAAGAGCAGGTGAAAATTACGATACACAAAAAGTGGATTAGCTCATCACGCTTTGTAAATGTGCTGGGGATTTTCTTATCCACACTATCACCTCCAGATGGGTAGCCGTTGGTATTAAGATCACGAATCCAGTCTTGAATCTCATTATCCTATAAACACAAATACTCTGGATAGTTTTTTGTATATATTCCACAAGTGTAATGTTGATCACGCAAGAAATTCATACAGCCCATACAGTAAAGTCAGACATTCACACTGTATATCGCGTGAATGTCCCATATGTAAATTAGAAATTTTCTGTTCTATAGTCTGTCAAACGCCAAAATTTATACCTTTTGGACAGATTTGTCATCTTTGTAGTAAATATATATAATATTTTGTACAAACTGGTGGATGGCGTCCCAGAGAAGTAAAGCGTCGTTTTTGTAGTGAAACTTCTTCAGATCTTTGACACCCCGTTCAGTAAGGTTCTTCTTTAGATCATAACTTTCAAATGTGACGTTTCTGTAGTGCCTCTGCATCAAAGCAATATGACCGCCACCTCCTATGCTTAGCACCTTGTCCGCCACACCTCCGGGTGGAATCAACTTGCTTCGCCCAAGCGTGTTGATGGCCATAATTCCCTTCGTGTGGGGATACAAAAGTTTCCATACAGGATGAACTGAGGGAAGATTTCGCCAAGAGGCCACAGCGGTTGGTTCCATCATTAAGTGACACCGAAGAAGATGTGTAATCATCTATAAAATTATATATTAATTGATTTGCTATGAAACTGGAAGTTTTTCAACGTGAAAAATATAGAAATTGAACTTTAAAAATATAGACTGATAGCTCTTACCTGATGATACTGTGTATCGGCACATCGGAGCCATAGTTTTGCCATAATCCAATCCCACCCCGTATCTTTTTGAGGTGTCCAAATTGGAGTTTCTTTTCCAGGTTGTTGCCCCAATTGAATGGCAATAGGTACCAAGTCATCATTCTTCCTCAAATAGAAAAGCCCCATAGCTGCTGTTATGTAGCGTTTATCTTTTGGTTTGTTCATTGTGCAGATGCCTTCAAGAATTTTGTAGTCAACGATGAAAATCACGCCCTCCTATATCAATGAATACACTGATGAGAAATGCCCAGGAACTGGCTCGTGCATGTTGTACATTCTAAATGTGTGATGGATGAACCTCTACGTACAAAATATATTTTTGCTTAGAGCTGAGGTGATGAAAATGTGTTATGTTTCTTACGTTGATAGCTCGGTTTAAGTTATATCTCCGATCAAGGAGATTGTTCACCATTTCATTCTTGACAGGAAAATTTTGAGGCAGCTTTTTACACTTTCTGATCACTTCAGGGTTTGAGCCGTTGAGGAACTGTGATCCGAACCACACGTCATCTCTCCAATAATCTGCAGCATCAGGAAGACACGATTCGATGGCGGGAGTAATGAGGGTTCTGAAATCATCGAGGGTATTCCATGACTCCCAAAGGTCATAAAAACTGCTCAACCCCAGATTCGCAAAGTCTGCTAAGCCGACTTCGAAAAGAGACGCTGTAGCTTCGTCGGTAAACTGCACGTCTTCTGGTAGTGACCACGGGTCCTTCGCTTCGACAAATCCAGGAAGGTCCTTAGTGTACCTTGGATCAGAGCCCCACTTGTACAGCTCTCTGTTCTCACTAACTTCTTTTTCTCGCTGTTTAGCTAAGGTGGTTACATTCTCTTTTGAATTAGGCAATATCGCTAAAAGATTTGATTTGAATACGAAGGTTATCATAATGCAAGTCCTTAGCACCAGCAAATGAAATTTAAATGAAACTGGAGGCTTATCAATTTCTCGACCTCACTAAATAACATAAAAAATTTAGCTTATTATGTATCGAAATTATGTATAATAATATATATATATATATATATATATATATATATATATATATATATATATATATATATATATATATATATATATATATATATATATATATATCATGTACGTGAGCTAGTTTTATAAATAGTTCAGTCATGCATGAGAATACAAATTATAGGTTATACATATTTGATGTTTGATTTCTTTCAATGAGAATTTTTCAACTAAATCCACGTGGTGTTTCCAGAAACGTGCAGAGTTACGAATAGTGTATTTGGCCTATTAGAATGATCTAATTTTGAAGGCACTCGTAGGATCAATAATTTGTACCTTTTGCTTCGTAAACTACCACAGATTTAATGATCCAGCGATAGCAAGGGAATGTGTAACTGCTGCTTTTGTCATCCTCCTTCTCAATAAGAACTTTTTCCAAGTACCAGTCATTCTTTATGTCGAAGATATCATGCTTTTTCAAAGAGATCTTTGCAATCTCTCCAACATCGTCGCCGGCTACATCATAAGTATCGGTTTCTCCTCTCATAAAATCGATGTGAAAATGTTTGCGGAGTCGAAATTCTGATGTTTCGGTACCATTTTTGCCTAAATATAAGACTTTTCAGGTAATCTGGAATTTTGATATGATTGTATAGAAAATTTACAATCTTTTATTGTTAAAGTAATCTTGCGTTTGGGGTCGAGTTTAGCGTCCACACAGACAGTGTAGCTTCACTGGGACAGAAATTCAATGTCAACGAGTTCCCAATAAATCTACAGGTGTAGACGCGGTGCGTAGAATGAAACGAACTTGACGTAGGAATTTTGATAATTCATTAACAAGATATATACAGGTTTGGGTCGAATAAGTCGATTGAGAATATTGCGTCGGTTCGAACTAAAATATGATAAGCAAACAAACTATAGTAACCTATCACATGAAATTAATACGAATATATACTTGATAATTGACATAAATGAGATATACTTATTAAACTGAGAATTAGCATGCAATATAACAACTAAACCGATTTTAGCAGCGCTTTATATCGAAACACTTAGCGCAGGTTTTGGTGCGCGAGGGTGTAGCTACATTACATGCGTACCCTAGACAAATGAGTTATATACCTATTACAACAGATTCTTAATCATGCATGAAATAAAGCGCAAATAATTAGTCCTTTTGTCAGTAAAACATTTAGCGCGACAATCGCTAACTGAAACAACGTTTTATCTATTTACTTACTTTGGTTTGCAGACGCACCAACTTTAACTATCCAATATACGCGTAGATATAGCTTTCGAGGTAGAATAAAGACAGAATTTTTTGTCTCACAATGCGAATAGAATTGTAGCATAAACCTTTGCTTTCTTACAAGCGTCCACATTCGAGACTCAACTAGGAATGAATAACCTAAGCTAGGTAGGCTGTTTTTGTGTAGAATGAACCGGATTTCAAAACATAGAAACGCGGTGTGTTTTTGTGACGGACATAGCGTGGCTAGGCAAGGCAACCGCATTGCGCATTTGCTAACCAAATTTACGCATTTGATGTAAATCTTTGCGCTGAAACGGAAAATAACAACGTGAACGACCTTCTGTTTCGAAAATGTTTCTGTTATTTTCAAAATCAAAAAAAAATTTAAACTATCATTATATTCCTGTAAATTACATAACAATCATAAATTTGACTACTCTGGCGTCCATAGATTCCAAATTTCGCTTCCAGAATTTTAAAAAGATAAAAGGGCACAATTGTGCAAAGATCACATTGAAAAAAGGACACATTTTGGTGAAAAAAGGACGCTCTTTAAAATTTAGGGGGCTGCGTGTCCCAGTGCCCCGTGGTTCTGACTTCACTGTTTGTTTGAAAAATGTTGGACTTCGTAGTTGTCGTTGGTATTGTATTGTATTTTTCGTTCTTACCAATAAGCTTGATTACAACAGATGCAAAAACATCACCAGCACCAGCAAGATTCCCGGTTTCCACCGTAATTTTATACTTCATTCCCGATGTACTGAAATACACAAATAGTTTGTATTCACTTTTCCGAAAATTTCTAAGAAGTTGAACCCAAACACCCCACAATCTCAGATATCTACGTTGTTATTCGATATCTTGACTAAACACAAGACGCCCTAAACGGCCCTTTTGGCTATTGCAGGCGCGCACTCTGTATATAAACATAATGTCCGCACAACCCTCACTCAAATTTTCGCATATACAAACAGTGTATACAAACGTACATACAAATAGCTACAAAAATACACACAAAAAACTAAACCAATGACATGTGGGAATTGACTTCTCTAAAATATTTGCCTAGCATATTTTGTTCTAATAGTTTTTGAAGGCATGCGAAACTTGAGAACATTTATTGAATTTTGTGATGAAAAGCCGTCAGGACCCTATCAGTCCTATCACATAGTTCTCCTGGCGAGCACCGTCGCCAAGTGAAATCGGTGTAAAAGTGATTAAGGCGATAAAATTTTATTCGTATCATGACCAGAAAATTCGGACATAATTAACATTCTACTTCCGCCTAAATTTGCATATGATGTCAAAATTAAGCTTCGTGAGTTTATAGTAAACTGTAATGTGCACAGTACTAAACGCTAAAAATACAGCTTTAGGTAGGTCGATTATAATATGCCTTAATTGCTCGTTGCAGAGCAAGTTAATCCTAATATTTTTATATAGTATTTCAAAATGTTTTATCAGTATTCGTCCTGCATTTTCAAAACAAAGTTTTGGTCATTTATCACGTTGAATACCATGCATATAAAACGAAAACCGTTATAGCGTAGAAATAAAAAAAATGCCGACATAAACCTTTACCATGCAGCAAAATATTACCTCAGGATCTTTAATATGAGACGAATTACAAGAAACAACCGGGGCAAATTGCAAAGATGCAATGATTTTCTTAAATTTTGCAAAATTTAGGAATGCGCAATATAATTTATAGTTCTGCAAACGAATAATATTTGAACAGATATGCAAATTTGCTACGGCAATCTGCATACTCCATGTCCGCAATTTCTGGCCATGTGCATGCAATACTCAATGAACACCCATGCGCGTAGCTACTTTGGTGTTGCAGCAAAACAGCATAAGCCCCTGCATGCTTTTAGAAATATATTATCTATTCCAAGGCATTGGCGATAAAAAGAAACAAATACTGAGTGCATATAGTATTTAGGTTATTAGCTCATGAAAGATAAAAAATTCAATCTAAAAGGGCTTTGAATAACCGCGACTATGCTGTCCATTATGAAATTGAGCAGCCAATTTAGGATATTTATCATTCCAAGGGTTATTTTGAGTTCTTTATCTTCTAAACTGAAATATTATGCACGGCGTCGATATCTTCTGAAAACTATTCGTCTCGTATAGGGAAAAATCGTGAATTTGAAAATGTTTGGGGCTTCGGGCTCAAGTATATCTGTAAATTGCCAACTTGCTGAAATGTTTGTTCGCGAGCAACACTTGGCTTTTTTTTTAAGTTTTAAACTTACTCCTTTGACTAGTGTTTTGCTTCGGTAATTCTTGAATGTGGACTCTTCTGACGAAATGTCATACATGGGCACAGTTTGAAAAAACTTTAAGGCCAATGACAATGTTTGTCTTTCCGACAAACTATTCTACTAAATTTCCGACGCGATTTTTCGATGTTGGACCACAGTTAATAGATATTAAACTATATATAGTTGCACCGGAACACGATGACGGCGGCTATTAATACAATAGGTCATTGGAAAGAAACACTGAAATAATTATAAAGACCTACAAGAGTTTTAGACGTCGCCCACGCTCTGTTTACAACGACCAATTTCAGGAATTCAAGTCCTGTGTAAATGACGCAAGGAAATCAAAACCAGCAATTATTAAAGTTTTTAACACGGATTTGAATGCATCATAATAGGCCAGTATACTACCGGCTTTCACCGCTAATATAATTAGTCTAACTCTTAAATGTTTACCAAATGTGCTCTCCCCTATTTATTTTCATATTAACTCTCCTAACGAGGGACTTTAGGTCGAAACGTCGAGAAGTGTTTTGTCTATTTTAGGGAGTTGTTATACTTAATTTGATGCTAAGTTTTGAAAGACGCTGCACGCTGCTCCCTGGTTATATTGGAAATAGTAAAAATGAGCATATGAATTTTATCTTAATATTCAATAGCATTCAGCTACCCTGATCGACAACATATTTGTCTGTGTAGTTCTTCAAAGAAAGCATTCGGGTCCTTCTGATACTCAGTTTGGTAATAATTATTGCAACGAACCTATAATGTATAGCCTGTCTCTTCCAATTTTCTTTCGAGAATTTCCTTTTCACGAAATATATAATATATAATGAATGCGAACGAATTTCAGTTCTGCAGGTTAGTACCACTCGTTTTTAACAGGATATTTCGAGCGAAAGTACCAAGGCTTTAATAAACATCTCACAGGAAGTCGTCCCCCGTGCATCCACGTGTTTCTATAGTGTTTTTACGCACATGCATGCGGGAAAAAGGTTTAAACACAATAGCGTAACAGCTGCACAAACAATAATTTGATATCGTCTTTATGCGTCTTTTCTTAAAATTCAAAGCAATACATGTTACAAAAAAACCGCAGTGTACATCTGCAAGTACAGTTGCGAGAAATCATGCATTGCTCGACTACTTCGCCTCCTTCGAAACTTTTCGCTATCGTTTTCCCCAGGTCTATTATTATTATTAGCGAGGGGTAAAGTCGAAGAGACAGTATATAGGCTAAGTGTGGATACGCTCCAATATAACCAGGGAGCAGCGTCTTCAAACAACTTAGCATCAAATGTGGTATAACAACTGCCTAAAATCAGTAGCGTATAGCCAGCCCGACTATATTTGTCCCGCTATGCTAATATTTTCGTGTTCATCGACTGTGAAAATAATAAATTTCTAAAGAAATGGATAATTATAATAACTCCAAATTTACATAGCGGTACAAAATCGTCAGGCTGGCTACGCCACTGCCTAAAATAGACAAAACACTTCTCGACGTTTCGACTTGAGGGCCTTCACCAGGAGAGTTAGTGTGAAAATAAATAGGGGAGAGTGCATGTTTTGTATGCAGGCAAACACGTGATGAAAATGGGCCAATAGAAAACAAATAATCAAAACAAATTGCAATGCATTACATTCCCAAAGAGACGCGTGATTGTTGGCTAAGAATAGCCCGCAATGCGGGAAGCCTTATCAGCAACGAAAACGCATTACAACCAGCTTGAATGTAAACAAAAAATTGAGAGTCATATTACTCTGGGTGAAGTAGGCTAACTTAAATGAAAGAGAGTCATTCATCTATGTCGGAGGGATGGAGAGTGCCAAGCCTGTGGATGAGTCGCATTTCTTGTCGTTTACGGCTATCGTTAGTACCGGAAATGGGTACTTTGCTAAGTCATTCTTACTAGGTATGAAGTTTTTTCTGCTTCTTCTGATCCTTGAAGCGAGCGTGGCACAAACAGGGGTGGCGCCAAAGGAGGGGCAAGGGTCGGAGAAATCTAGCTCCACTGTCGGGGAAAATTTTACAATTCGTCGGGGAATGAACAGGAGATATATTGAGTCGTCCTCTATTGTTTTTAGTTCTCCCAAATAAAACAGAGGTAGTATTTTACATTGTACATGTTTTGTAGTTTAGAAATGTTCATGAAAAAGTCCGTGATATGACTCTGAAATGCTAATTTCCAAAGATCTAGAGCAATCAAATTTCAAAAATTTTCTCATGGAGCATACACTCCAAATCTAAATGGGACTGTAGCAATAAACCGAAAACTTTGCTTCCCACAATTACACGTTAAATAACAACCAGGAGTTCAGCCCCCCTGTCGGGGACCTTAGCCCCTTTGCCGGTGAATTCCTAGCGCCACCCCTGGGCACAAACTGATCCACCGCCCGAAAAATGCTTCAATGATGCTATTCCAAAATACGTAACATGCAGACCAGTACATGGAAGACCAGCAGCCTGTCGCTGCAGAAACATAGACCCATGTTATATCAAGTTAATCACACGAAAAAGAAAGATTGAACACACTTTATCCAATAACTACATCTATTTTGTAAACGGTACGTTTCAAGGTCCAACAATTATCGCAGAAGAAAAAGGAATTGTAGTCGTTGATGTTTTTAATGAAATGGATGGAGACAATTCTCTTCACTTTCATGGGATGCATCAGCGCAATGTTCCCTGGATCGATGGTGTGGGAAATATTACCCAGTACCCGATACCAGCCAATGGAAAGTTTAGGTAAATAAAGTTTGACAATTATAGAAGGACGAGAAGCAAAAGTAAATGTCCAAGGACTATAGAGCATGTACTTACAGAACACAACAATTACTGACGACATGCAGATATACCGTCCGAAAGGATGTAATCATTGTTCCTGCAGGAGGGTATGCAGTTCTGCAATTCCTTTAAGATAATCCAGGATATTGGTTCATGCATGGTCATATCGACGAACATCTCAATCGGGGTATGGAATTAGCCATCAGTGAAGTTCCCTCATGTGCCAGCATTCCTCCTTCCCCCCGCTTCAATAAAACTAACAAGTTTTGCTTCACCGTTGATACGTTCGAAGCAAAAGAAGGAGAGGCAAATGGAGTATGTCAAAATGCTAATCAAAAGACAGTTGCTTCACACGGCTATATTCCAACCATCACCGCATCATCATTATTTGCATTATTGTTCGGTTTTGGTTTTCACTGGATTTGGTTCTCGTTCATTTGATTTCAACATATTATATACTTGCATGAAAACTTACACCTTTGAACTGCAAATGAACTTTGTTTTGTTATAACATTTTAGTGCATAAAAATAGTAGTAATAGGTGAATAGGTGATTTTTTAAGTATCACAAATAATTATAATGTCTGAAGTTATTGGAGGTACGATTGGAATAAGAATATAACCTAATTAGTGCAATCTTGGTATCGCGTATCTCTAAGATGTTCATACCTTAACACTTTAATTTTGTTTAATATCGACAGTTGTAATTCATTTTATTAATATCATTTTAATAATATCATTTTATTAATATCATTTTGCCCGATTCTCTTTAGTTGAAATCCATCTTCACTGATTCAACAAATTCTTTAGAATTAATTACACGATGTTCTGTTAGACCGACAACAGGTTTTAACTCAAGAAAGATATTCGGCTAAATATCAGTGAAACTTGTGATGCAACTATAGGTGTCAGAGGTACACCTAATTTATGTATTTTAGGTAAACGTAAAAATTAAGAAACACATGAATGACACACATGAAGGTTTTATTTTTAAGGTACCATTGGAATAAGAATAAAGCCTAATAATTGTGCAATCTTGGTATCGTATTTGTAACACGTTCCTAACTTAACACTTCAATTTTGTTGAATATCGATAGTTGTAATTCATTTTTATTTATATCATTTTTACGATTTTGCACGATTCTGTTTGGTTAAAATCTGCCTTCAATGCAATAAGTGTGTAACGAAGCAAAAAGGCTATGGATTTGAGCAAAAACTGAAGACAACGAAACTTTTTAAGCACAGAACCATTTGCTATAACATATTATTATTAAGGAGTGAATATCATTATTTCATGGAGGTAGACCTTGGATAGTCATAGTTGGTAATGCGGATGAGTGAAATATAAATGAGCAAAAACTAGAAATTAGCATGAGGCCTCCCGATTTCCTAAGCTAAAAGTGATCTATTTCGTATTCAACAAGATCGTTTCGAACGTTCTATAAAACATGCATATACAAAATAAAATAAGAAAAATAGCAAAATCATGGAAAATATTACATGAAAAGTCTCACAGTTCATGGCTCAATCGTTAAAGAGGAGAGATATGAATTATTTTTGTAAAAATTATTTTTTCACACGGATAAGTGTTCACTTTTAACTTTTTGTATGGAAATGATTGATAGCACTATTACTGATTGACTCATTCAGGAGGGTAATTTCACAACAATGATAACCTTCATGAACAAGGTTTTTGGGTTAAAACCAGGGGCAGGGTATTCCGCATGAGTGTATTCATAATATTCTGCTTAGACAAACTTCTTGCCACAATATATACAACAAAGCTAAAAGCTAACGCTCTCGAACACTAGACAAAGCAACCAGAGACCGAGATATTGTGAAGAAAATGGGCATGTTTACTCGGTTTCGTATAGTGATGCTGTGTATTACATACTTGTAATTTACTCAGTTAGGCTGGAAATATGGAACATATTCAGAAGAAAGAAGAAACTGATTGGCTGCCAAATCCTTTTGATTTTGATCTGTTTTCCTGATCTTGGCTAGGTATATTTACCACAAATACTAGTAGTTGGTGAGGTCCTATGTACGTGAAGTAATACGTTCCTTATTTCCCCCAAAATAGAAATTATGAACTCTCCAGCATGGCTAACAAAGTCTGAGCAACATGTAAAACAAATTTCAGTACACTTTTACTGCATGGTTTCTGTATTAATAATACTGAAAGCTGTCTTCATGTCACGTCCGCCTTCGATCATCTAAGTGGAGGAGATTCACTAACGCGACCGGACGAATTTTTCATTTTCAAAAGGAAATACATTGAATTCTGAAAGAACGTTTTGAGAGATATCGGTACCAGACCAGTCACAAAGGCCGGTGTGTGTCTGCCTTTAGTATTGGCAGCCAGTTACATACAGTGAAGTAGCTAGCTAATTTTCTGCTGTTCATAAACATTAAAGTCTTTCTGGACTGAAGGAATCGAACGAATCATTATATAAGACTAAGGCTTGCATAGCGGGACTAATTCGCGAGGCTGCAGCTTTTCAGTTATTTACCTCAGCACGCAACTGTGGCCTATTTCCACTTGGAAAACATTGTTTCATCACGATTTTTGGGTGGTTACAAAGGACTTCAGACCACGCATCCGGAGAGCCATGAGCGAAATAATCAGATGCTTAATTAGTACGGTCGGTTGTCGCCGTAATCGTCAAATGTACAAAGTTAACAGTCTAAGGTGCACCAAATCATACCAAATCTACGACGCGACGTGATATTAAAAACTGCTACCATTGTTAGGAACCCTGTAATAATTTGTTTTACATACGGCTCTGACTTTCTTTATCGGAAGGAGTCTATGATTTCTACGGATAAGGAAACTGTGGAAATTAGAGCTCACCACAATGAATAGTAAAGACCAGTGTACTAAAAGCGGCATAGACGAGACGATGAAAAGATCATTCTCGAAGTTCCACTAGATAACTTATTAATAGTTTTACAATAGATATCGATTACATTAATGAATTAAATACAAAAATTAGTTCGTCGTTCTCTAAGTTTAATAGGTTGCCACGCATGCACTGTTCGTATATTCTATTTAAATAGCGATGCTGTTTGGGAC